AAGAGCTCTGGCACTTTTTACACTGTGAAGAAATGTGTACCTAGTGAGGTGGTTTATAGTTCTTTTCCTTCTCCCTTAGTGGTTTTGCAAGAAATTCCTTTCTGAATCTTACCCCTCCTTTCCCCCTTTATCTTTCTTTTTTTTAGTATCTTTTCTGTGACATTTAAGAATAGCTTATAGTTCTCAGCAGTCCCTAACAAGTGCATTATCGGTTTAGAAGTTGTCATTATATTTTCTTAAATTCAGCATGGTCCGGTAGAACTGTGATGGTGGGAATTTGTGCCATCCACCAGCAACAAATCTTGAGCACTTGAAATGTGGCTAGTGCAACTGAGGAACTAAATTTTTATTTATTTATTTTTAATTAAAATAACCTCATATAGCTAGCGTCTGCCATATTAAAAGTCAAGCTCTAGATCAAATATTGATGATTTTCTAGCGCACTGAGAATTGATATATTTGAAAATCCACAGTTGTAGTTTCCATTGGTAAGACTGTGAAATCACCTAGTTAATGCAGATAAATTCCCATTGCCATATAAGGAACTTAACAGTTATGTCCACATTGTTTTAATGGAGAGGAATTTGGCTATATAGCTAGTGGTCAAACTCAAAACTAGTTAAAGTTCAGAGTAAACAAAAAATTCCATGGAATGTCAAGCTTTGCAATCTTTTACCTGGATTGCTGGTTCATCTCCTAACTGATGCTTTTGCATTTACTCTTGTTCCTATCTAATTCATTTTCCATATTTTAATACTTTAACCTAAGCTATCAATTCAGAGTACAAATTTGATCATGTAACCCCACCATACTTTAACACTTCTTTGGTTCTCCACTCTCTGAGGAAAAAGATTAAAATCAACAATGTGATCTATAATGGTGGGCTTCATTTTATACTGTTTTCTCTTGCTCTCTGTACATAAGCCACATTAACTTTCAGTTCGTTAAACATTCTATTCAAATGACTCTTACTAAGATCACCCAGGATTTCCGTCCTGCTAATTCTGAAAGTTAATTTCTGTTCACATCTTTCTTTGACTTCCTTGTAACACTCAACACAGGTGACCATTCCCTCCTTGCAACCTTTCTTCTGATTTGTGCAATATTAGTTTTTCTCCTGTACTTTAATTGCTTGAGTTCTTTCTTAGCCCCCCCCCCCATTCCCTACAGTCTCCCTCAGTGATCTCTTCTCATCTCATGGCTTTTAATAATACCAATGTGTTAATATAACTCTAGCCTGGTTCAGTGTCAGACTGGTGTTTTCAACTTTCTATTCAACTTGTCTACTCAGATATTTAATAAGCATCTCAAACTTAACACGTCCAGAACAGAACCTTTTTTAAAAAAAGAGACAAAAACTTTTTTGTGTGCAAAATTTCAGTCCTATCCAAAAGGAGAGTTGCTACCATGAATCACTATGTACCCAACCCTTAGCTTCAACAATCAATTCATGGCCACTCTTGTTTCATTTATATTCTACCACTTCCCCCATTCTATCCAGATTATTTTGCAGCATACCCCAGAAACCTTATTTTTTTTCTATAAATATTTCAGTCTGTATCTCCAAAAGATGGTAATTTTAAACACAATACCAGTATCACATACAATTAACAATAATCCTAAATATCATCACATATCCTGTATGTCATAACAGAACCTTGATCTTCTCATTCTTTCCAAATCTTTTCCTCCCCCAGTCTCTCCCCAACATCAGTTAATGGCACTACCATCCATTCAGTTGCTCAGGCCTCAAAGCTAACAGTCAATCTTGTTTTCTTTTCTCAATACCCACCACCAGTTCGTCAGCAAGTCCTATCCACTCTATTTTCAAAATATATCCAGAATCCAGCTTCTTCTCCCTAACTCTACTGCTACCTCCCAATCAAACTATCTTTATCTCTTGCCTAGACCACCGCAGCAGTCTGCTATATGGTCACCCTGTTTCCATTCTCCTTTCTATAATCCATTCTCCACATAGAGGTGAAGTTTTCTTCTTCTTCTTCTTCTTCTTCTTCTTTTTTTTTTTTGACACAGCATAAGCAGGTAGAGTAGCAGGTAGAGGGAGAGGGAGAAGCAGGCCCCCAGCTGTGCAAGGAGCCAGATGTGGGGCTCCATCCCAGGACTCTGGGAACACGACCCGAGCCGAAGGCAGTCGCTTAACCAACTGAGCCACCCAGGGGCCCCAGGCGAAGTTATCTTTTAAAAAAATTAATCATGTTATAGCATTCCCTTGTCTAAAACCCTGTTTCCTTTAGAACAGAATCCTTCATTGTTTCCCTGGTCTCTGTTGTCCCTCATTTTCTACTTTCTCTGACCTCACCTAACACCACTTTCTCCCATATTCACTCCCAGCCCACTTGCCTTGTTTTAGTTCTTCATATACCCCAAAGTTTGTTCTTGCCTCATCATTTTTGACTGACTTCCCCAGGTGTTCTTTCAGTTGGCTCATTCGTATCATTTAGTTCTCAGCTCAAATGCTGCATCCTCAGAGAGGCCGTTCTTGATCTCCTCATCTAAAGTGCTAGCCTCTTAGCCCTACTGTCATTCTTTATCCCATTACCTGTTTGTTTTCTTTTTCATAGTATTCAGTACGAAAATTATCTTGTTTATTGAGGTACTTGCTTATTGTCTGTCTCCCCCTATGAGAATTTTGCTCCCAGAGAGCAAGGACCTTTTCTGTTTTATTCACCACTGTAGCCCTGGTGTTTAGAACGGTGCCTGACACATACTAGACATTACCAAATGTTTATTGAATGAAGAGTGAGTTAGTAAATGAATTGTGCTATATTCTAAGTGCTGCATATGTTGAAAGAAGAAAGATTGCCGAGGACTTTGCTCAATACCCACCACCAATCAATACCTGATTGCTCAGGGAAAGCTTTATCTAAAAGATGTAACTTAAACCTCAGTCTCAGAAGATCATTTCAAGTTAGTTAGGGGAAAAGAGATTTTTAAAGGAGGCTGCTGCTGCTGCTTCATCTTCGTCTTCTTTTTGAATAGTCAAGTTGCAGGTGCTAAAGTTGGCAAGGAAGGTCCTTGTCTGCCGCTACTTCTTACTTACCTGGTTTTTGATACTAAATGGTGCTGCCACCATTTGTTTGGAATTTGCCACTCATATATACACATATATCTTCCATTGTACAAAAAACATTTAAAGTGGTGGTTGCTTAGTGAATATGTTGAGATTATTCCTTAAGAATTCCAGTTTATAGAGCATAATACTATTAACAAAAATAGAGAGATACAGAAGGAGGGGGTAAGATAGTGAAGTTGGTTTTAGACCTGACATTTGCCTGTGTTTTATTAGTCTAAATTATGAGCCTTCTATAAGCGGTTTAACTTCTAGATTGAGATCTAAAAAAGGCCACTAAATTACTAATTAAAGCTTAATAGACTGATAGGAACAGAATCTGAACTGCAGATTTAGACCGGATGGCTTAAATGGTTTTTGTAATTGGAAACACCTAAATATTCATTATTGGGGAAGTGGTCTTACAGGTTGTGATACCTCCACAGGATTCTGCCAACTATTAAAAATGTCTTCAAGGCACTTTTAGTAACAAGGGCAAAATGCTCGTGGTATAATGTCATAAAGCAGGACTTTACAGTGTTACAAAGGACCTCAGGTTTATAAAAATATTCATAGATATGTACAGAAAAAACTAAAGGTACATCTTATAATATTAATAATGGTTAACTGTGGATGATTTTTATTTGTAAGTTTTATTAATTTTCCTAAAATGACTATGTAATACTTTAATCATAATAAAAGTTTTTATTTTAACAAATGGATGAAGAAACAAATGAAGACGTTAGTTTCACTCATGGATTTCAGTCTGGCAAAGGAAAGAAATGGGTTGGTATGTTGAAGGAGGCGAGGCAGAGGATCAAGCAAAATTGCTTTTAACACACTTTAGTATTGACTGTTAACTTGTTGGGGGTTTTTAATATGTATATTTCTAGCATTATATACTTCAGTTTTCCTGATGATTTTTCAGTCATTATATTTTGCTGGGCTGGGGTGCAGAAAGGAGAATTTAAGAAACAAAAAGAAAAGAAAAGGGTATATTCCTAGAAACTGGTTCTAGAGTTTGTGTTTTCTGGAGACGGAGTGTAACTGTTGCCCAGCCTTTCTCTAGTGACAAGTGAAAAGAAGTACCCTAATCAAAATGTAGAGAGAAGGGACTATCCTGGGTAGGTATACTTACCAGAGTCTTTCTAAATCCTCTGCCCTTTTGGTATTATTTTTCTTTTGGTTGGTTTTGTGAGAGTTGGGAGCCTTTTCAGGAGGAAGAGATCTTTGGGAAATGTGCGTAGGGTCACTAAGAAAAGGTAAAACTAATTTGTTTGTTCTAAGAACAAGAAAGCCATGAAGAGATTTGATTCCTTCTCAAGCAGCATGCTTTGTTTTACTTTTTTTTGTTACAGAAATAATATACAATCATATTAAAAAGCTAAAAAAACAAAAAGACTAAAAGATTATAGGTTAATTTCTTACAAGTGAACTACTACTGAGTTTTCTTGTATATCTTTACAGAATTTTTCTGTCTAGCACCACATTTTAGAATGACAGGCAAAGAGGGACTAGAGCAAGCAGTTATGTTGGATTGTTTGGGACAATTTGAGTAATCGAGTTCAGTAGAACCCTTTATTGGCTGTATGCTGGGGATGGAATGAGCACACACACAGTTTGCTAAGCACTGTGTCAGCAGGTGGGGTTTAAAAGTGAATAAAACAATCTTGACCCTTGAGATGGTCACATTTGAGCCAAGAAACAGAGTTGGTGCCCATTCTTAGAATTACTATTACATAACCTACCTATTCTTGTAATAAAGATTATCCTGTGGTTGCACTAAATTTAGCATGGTTTCTCTACTTCTAACTTACAAAGTTGTAAAATATCCAAGAGCTTTATGGGTTTTTTTGTTTGTTTAAATGTTTCTTTTTTATCACTTAACTTTCCATTCAGGTTATTATTCTTTTATTTTAAACATATATAGGAATTACTCAAGGTGATGAGGACGATTGATGACAGAATAGTACATGAATTAAACACTACGGTTCCAACAGCTTCCTTTGCAGGGAAAATTGATGCAAGCCAAACCTGTAAACAACTTTATGAGTCTGTAAGTGTAATCTTTTGAGTCTTTTGTGCTTCCTTTATGCCTTTCTTTGCAGGCAAAATAAAAAACCAATTGACATATAATTAAACTGGATAAAAGTGTGGCATCTTCATGTTTTCTTGCCTACATCTGAGGGTGTGTACAAGTTTTGATCTGGTTGCTACAAACTAAAGAAAATGTGTGATCTTATGCACAAGTCTATGAAGAGATCATTCTAAGGAATGAGAGCAGTTTTTTAGCCCCTTCATGGGTAGCCTTTAACTTAAGGAAACCTTACGCACCAGCGAATGAAGGGGAGAGTGAAACAGTCGAGTCAAACAGTGAAACAAGAGCAAGGGCTTTGAGTGAATCAATCCTAGGAAGCCAGACACCTGATACAACGAAGAATTAAAACCCTTCACGCTTTCTATATCTTTTTTCTTTCCTCAGTCATCAGGAAGGGGAATAGACTTGGCAGTTGGGCGAGAAGCCACAGATAAATTGTCCTTTCCTGAGGCTTTGGTTTCTCAAGTACATATTTTTTCATTGCCTCTTAAAGATTCCCTTTATTGTCTCTATAAATTCCAAAAGCAAAAGGAAATAATAATAATGTAGCTAAGTATTTTTTCATAATTTACTTACATCTTTTCATTAACTTGGAAGCTAATGTTCAAATGGCATTTGCTTCTTTAGCACAAGGAATACTTAAAACCTAAATTTTATTTCTCAGTTATGAAAAAAAAAGTCAGTTTTAGATAGCTTATTCATATCAATTAAATTCAAAGCATTAATAATTGCTGATAATTTTTATTCTGCTTTTATATGAAAGTATGTAATTTCATTGAGTGGTCAGGTAATTCTTGTGGCTTGAAAATTCCAAGGTTGTGGGCTTTAATGAATAGAATCCAGTATTGGAAGTAGGGAGCCAGAGTCCCAAGCCCTAATTTATTTTGAGGTTGTTTGACAGTTCACGTAATTTCTTTGGGTAGCTCTGTCTGAAGAACTAGAAATTTATGATCTCACTACCCATATAATCTCTATAATCTATTCAGTTGTTTCCTTTTACAATCTTTTTATTAACTTGAAGATTTATAGTGTAGGGATTAACAACATGGATTCCATATCTAGATTAAATCCTACCTCTGCTATTTCCTAGCTGGTAACCTTGAACATGTTACATAACTTTTTGCCTCAGCTTCCTTATTTGTAAAATAATATCATAATAGTACCTAGTTCATAAGGTTGTTAGAGACCTAACTGAGGTAATATGAGGTGCTTACTGTACTAACTGTCTTACATGTAAATGTTTGCTGCTTCTATTACTGTTGTTGTTATTATTTCTTATCCCTTTGTTGAACCAGAATAATCTTGCATACTAGAACCTTTTGTTTTGGATATTTAGGATCTTTCTGTTTTGGATATTCTTATGTATGTGTTTGGGTTTTTCTCTGTCTGTACCCTAAAGGGCTCCAGCAACATGACCATCAGAGAAAGGATGGTTTATCTAGCAGTTTTTTTGCCAGTGATTGAGCCTGCGGCAGAATGCCCATGCTAAGAAGTCCCACTGAGTTCCCTTAAATATTGTCTCAGTTAAGGGTGGAACTCTGTGAAACATCCAGGTTGCTTAAAGTTATCTTGACTTCCTTTAGCCCCAGCCCTTCCTTCTATAGCTGAGGAAGGAATGTTTGTACTCTCTAATGATAATACATCTTCATAGCAGATGATTAGCAAAGTTATTATGAAGCACTAATTGTAGAAATTCCACATCTTAAAAGTATACTCTTAATAAAAATAATTTCAGTGAGATACTCTTATTAGAGCGTATTCCCTTGAATCTGTGAAGTTTTTCTAACTGTACATTGTTTATTGTTTATTCTCAAGATAAACATGAAGATCAATGCTGAACCTTAAAAAGTCTATGAACTTGGAATAGTGCTTTACAAATGCAAAACTATTACTGGTGTCACAGTGATTGATATAGGGTAATTCTTAAAGGTATCTCTTTAATATAATGAATTTTTGGAATATGTGTTTAAATGATATGTTTCCCTTTGCCTCCTTTTGTCAGAAGTTCTAGGGGAAGATTTAAAACAAAGTGCCATGACAAAAATTTTTTTTTTTGTAATTTTTATTTTGTTTTTAATGATAGTTAAACCAAGGGTCATTGTCAGGGTTCTGAAGCAAATGATGTTTGGGAAATGAGAATTTAGTATAGAGTTAATTTAGAATCAACCTTTGTTCTGTAAAGAAAAACACCAAAAAGGTATAATAATCAGGAAAACTGTTGGCATTGTTTCCCTTAAAGGCAAAAAGCATTGTTTTAAAATAATGGTTAAAAGATATAGTAGGTGAAAATTTGACTAAAAGAAGTTCTTAGAGTTTTGATAAAGTAAAATAAAACTGGGAAGTCCTAGGTAGACCACTGTTAGACTAGTTTTGAATCATTTTCCTGCCCCATCCCAAATGCCTTCATTTCAGAATTGCTTACCCCAAATCAAGGGAAGTATGGTTATGACAATGGTTATCGTTCAGGAATTTTCTCCTCTAACCAAAGGCCTTGCCTTTTACCTTGCCAAGTTTCTTGATGAATTTTATCTTCATTCCTTTGACAAGCACGTTGTATATAGAAACAATTCTCATGTGACCCAACTTCTGAAACATCTGAATTACTAATGAGCTAATAAGTCTGGTTTCATGCTATATTTTTCTCTGGTAGGCTTATGTCACACAGTCTTAGTAGAGTTCTCAAGCGTCCTCATTTCTTTGACGTACGTGTACAGAAGTCCATGCATATTCCTCTTGCCGATGGCTTTTAATTCTGAATTTTGTTGAAGGATGGTCGTGAAAGCTAGACTAAAATAATTGATAATACAGAGTAAAAGATGATTTGCTCAGTAATTTCTGTCCACAGGGGAGTGGGTTCACAGTGGGGCTAATCTGAAGGAAGAGTACGCAGGTGAGAGTAGGAGGGTGGTCTTCAGCTAGAAGTGTATCCACAGGAAAGGGGCCAAGTTAAAGAGGGGAACAGTGGATGAAATCCCCCAACCAAGGGAGGAAACTCTGTGGTGAGAGAGACTGAATGGAAAATATTGAACATTTTAATGTGAAATGTACACAATTTGAATTAGATTTTAAAATGCAGATAGAAAAATGAAAATACTGTGACAGACTCCTAGTTGGTGCTAATGCGATTTCACCAATTATTGGGGGTTTAGACAAAATATCAAAGTGATTAAGTAGCATCTGACATCTGAGCAGTGTATTGAGTCAAGTTACCCTTAAATTTTAGAGGTAGAAAGGATGTTAGTGATGATTTACTCATAATCCATAATTTTGCAAAAGAGGAAACTGAAGCCTGGAAATACTAATTATTTAGCCAGTCTCACAACAGGGAGAGCTTCTTAACTCTAATGATGGTTCTTCTTACTCTATTTTGGGAAGTTTCCTACCTTCAATGGTTCCTTTCATTTTCTGGAATTATACCTGAAGGAGGAACCAAGTAACAGAAGCAGCATATTAGCCAATAAAATATAGGCCTTGGGCTGTCCTTGTGAATCCTAACTATTACAGTGAAAAAAATTAGCATGTTAGAGAAATTTACAATAGGTGGGGCTAATGTCTATTTTAATTTCCTTCTCTTCACATAGGTATGATTTATAACCAGTGCACTTTTAGTATTACTGTACTCTAGAAATGCAAAAGTTTATTTTTTTCCTGGTGCATATTAGACCAGTAATTCTTAACTTCAGGGTCCAGAGATGATCATTTAAGAGATGTGTTTCAGGTAACTTATGAAGAATGCTTGTAGAATGGTTTAGTCCTAAATGTTATATAAATATATGTATAATGGTTAGGTTATCCCTAGTATAACTGTCACTAGCGTAGCATTAAGATATTCTCTCTTCAGAGGGAAGAAGGAATAATAGAACATGATTACTTGGAGCAAGTTAACACCTAAATTTTAGCTGAAGGTGAGTCACCTTTTTTAATTCTCCATTAATTATAATGGCAATTACATATTATTTTAGTACTTTGTTTTTCCTCTCCCCCAGATTATTGGAGTGTCATCAGAATTTGGTTATGATCATGGGAGTCATGACCATCATACTTTGTGAATCAAGGAAGAAAATAGATGCAAATTGTTTTATTGGATTTGTTACATAAAGGTGAAAGTTTAGTAAAGAATTGCCCTGCCAGATGTCCTTTCAGTCAGTTCACACAGTTGGTGGAACCAGTAGTCTGTACCTTATACACAATTTTTCTGTATTAATACTTGAACTTTAAAATCTTGGAAAGGACTCTGTCTTGCATAGGTAAATATAGCATTCTTTGTTTTTTATTGTAACAAATTGCTTTTCTACATCACTTAATTTGCAATTTCTTGCACCTAGTGACAACACGGGTCTGGAGAAAACCATGAAAGGACAAAAAAAGAGAGGAAGAATAGCAGTAGTAGCCCTGGAGGTGTGTGGGGGGGGTGGTGGGTGGAGGGTAGAAGAACACAACACGGGAAAACTGGGGAGAGAAATGTAGGGAGAAGGGACTGAAATGAAAAGCCGCTTGTGGGAAATGCAGGGAGAGGAGTGGGAAGTCCCAGAAGCATACTGAGGAAGAAGGCAACCTGACCACGTACTTTCCACCAGGAGAAGTGCTTCCTTTGATCTGTTTTTAGGTGATTTAGCTGGTTCAGCAAAATCTTCGCTTCCAAAGATTCAGTTTTTAAAAATAGTTTAGAAAGTATTACCTTTCTATAACCTAAAAATAGGATTTTTAAAAAAGACTAAAATGTAAAAAATTGGTGTGATTTTTCTCTTTTGTGCCTTTGTTCTTTTAGTTGAAGGAGGCTCATGCCAGCAGGGACAGAGTCATAAAAAATTGTATAGCTCAGACCTCATCAGTAGTAAAACACCTCCGAGAAGAGAGAGAAAAGAATTTGGATGATTTAACGTTATTAAAGCAACTTAGGAAAGAACAGACAAAGGTAAGTCGAACAAAATTTACATTTCTGAGCCAAAGATTTCCAAATTTAATAAAGGCAGGGTTTGTTTGTTTTTTTTTAAGATTTTATGAAGGCAGTTTTTAATATGAAAATTTGAGAGTAAGAAATGGTCATTACTTTAAAAAAAAAAAAATGACCAGGAGAGTAATACTTCATTTTTAGTGGGCTTTATTTTATTACATTTAGATATTAGTTGGTAAGTTAATGTGCATTTCATGCATATATGCAGTGTAGCAGCTTTAACTTAAGCATGTAGTCATATTTTCTTTCCATTTATTTATATGTTAAAGATAAAAGGATTAGTATAGACCTACCACCACCACATCAGAAAATCTAGGGAAATCATACCTGTATCAGTGTTTAAAGGCTTGACTTGAGAATAAACTTTTTCAAATATATTTACATTTTGAGAATAGTTACCTCTGGTTTCATCTGTACAAATTTGCTGAAATGCAGTACAGATATTTCAGAATGTTACCCTCTTCAGCCATAAAAATATAGTACTATTTGAATATAACCACATACACTAGAACCTCATTATAATTTATTTCCCTACTGCAGAGAAGTTGCTATGGGTCTTTGGCTGTTCTTGGACACTTTTTTGTTTCCATTTCATCTTCCATCCCTGCAGTTTTTGCTTTTAAGAAAGAAAACAGTAAATGTCCACTGAGTGCTAGGTCGGAGGAAGGCTTATTTTCCCAAAGTTAGCTAATGTAGATAGGATGTGGACCTCAGAGTATAATAAACGGAACAGAACTGTTTCTTTATAGCCCTTAATGGTGAAATGTCAAGAAAATAGTTGAAATGTGTGTGGTATTTTATTATGTGGAGCACATTGCTGTCTTCCCTTTGGGGGTGGTGCTTAAAGAGTAACTTTTTATTTTGGTATAATTTCAAACTTACAGAGAAGTTGCAAGAATAGTACAGGGAACTCACGTGTACCCTTTACCTATGTACCCTTTACCTATATTCACCCATCGTTTACATTTTGCCCCACCTGCTTTGCAATACATTCTCTCCACTCCTCCTTCTCCCTCCTCCTTCCCACCTTTCCCTGTTTTCCTCCCCTTCCTACCACATGTAGGCATTTTTTTTTTCCTGAGCCATTTGGCAAGAATGGTGGGTACATGGTTCCTTTGCCCCTTACATATGTTGGTCATTACCTAAGAAGAGGGGCTTTTTCCTACATGACCACTGAGCAATTATCAAAATCATGTCTGTGTTTTAAGATGGCACCATAGGTGACTTACTGATCCTTGCATGTCAGGTGACTGAAAATCCAGTATGGGATGGAATTGTGTTTTTCATTACTAAACAGTCATGAAGTCTGCCCTTTGTTTAGTAGATGTAGCCAAACTTTGAAAAGGGGACCTTATCATCTCTCAAGCCTTTATTCTTATAACTGCCCACGTGAGTATGCGCACTTGCTCAGTCATCCCACTGATGCAGCTTGCTGGGTATGAGATTCATCCCCTGTCTTCACTGTTCTCTTAGTTCATGATGACTGCTTCAGTCCTGTGTTCCATACCTGCCCATTCATCAGGCAGTGGTGGGTTCCTCAGACAGTGATCTTTTGCTGTAATGGTCATCTTACTCAGTGTTTAAAGTCTTACAGATAATTTATATAAAGCAGGTTAAAATCTAATTATTTTTGGATTTTGTATTTTAACAGACTTTTGAAGGTATTGACAAAGGAAACAGTGGGGCAGGGCTGTTGTATCTGAAACCTGAAACTCACTATTTGCATGTTAAGTCAAACAAAGACTAGAATGACTCTTGTTAGTGGAGAGCAAAGTTCAGAAGCCACTGAGTATTTGGGAGTGACCTATCACATAATTTGGTCCACCCTCATTTCTGCCCTTTAGCCTTTAGGGCCCAGAGAGAATCACCAGGATGACTGTTGCAAGGAGTAGTTTTAGAAACCAGTTAGCGAATTATAAAAGGTAGATTTCTAGACTGATACTGTATAGAACTAGAGGGTGACCATGAGTAGTACTTAACCAAGTAAGGAAGCTTGAATTTTTTTTTAATTTTCAAGTTTGTCGTGAAGATTATGGAATCAGAAAGAGAACTCTTAGAGATGATCCAGCTCTACCTCTTCCTTTTCTGAATGAGGAAACTGAGACTCAGAGATACTAACTGACATCCCCAAAGTCACAAGCTAGTAAGTGGTAGAGCTGGAACTTTAACCCATCTCTTCTGACTCTGGATTCAGTGTTTGTACATTAAACTGTGACTGATAGTCAAATTCTCATTACTTAAGTGAACATACTTTATTTATATGCAGAAACACCAGTCTGAAAGTCCCAGTTCTTTCCCTGAGTCCTTAACGCAGAAAAAGCACATTCCTTGCTGAAACTATATAACCTATATAACATAACTATAATGTCACCTATTAGTGGCCTTTGAAAGGAAGTTTACCAGTTTAAGACCTAGAGCCTCAAAAACAACCATCTCAGAGGTAGCATTTTGTTGGTGGCATGTAGAAGTTGGTTGTAATATCTGCAGCATTCAAGAATAGAGAAAACTGTTCTTGGATTATAAAGGCAGATAGTTCTAGGGAATAAATCCCATCCACCATGTGGTGGGTTTGTAAACTTATAAATTAGTTGCCCTGAAGTAATCAGATTTTTAGTTTGTAAAATGGTGTCAAGACTTCTTACACTTTCATTTTTAGGGATTAGGATTAAATTATATAATGTGTGTAAGAGCTTGCATATCCCTGATACACTTAGTAGTTGCTTTCCTTTCCTTTTTGAGTCTCTGGGACTCCATGTTTGTTACATTAATCCTCCTTACAATATCTCCCAACCAGTGGTTTCTACCTTTTGTTTAACCACTACTTAAGGGGGCAGGGGAGGAGGAGTACTTCAGTCTTCTGTAACAGTGCATTTTCTTTTTGGATGGTTATAATTGTTCAGAGATTTTCTTATATATTGTGAAAATCTGCCTCCCTGTAACATGTGATTATTGCTCCTTAATCTTCCCTCTGCAGGTATATAGGATAAGTCTAAACCCATTTCTGCATGACCTCCCTTTAAATATTTGAGAGCAGTTATGAAGATTGTCCTAGTGGCATGTTGTAACCCTGTTTTGTTTTTTAAGATTTATTTTACTTATTTGAGAGAAAGAGCATGAGCAGGAGGGGCAGAGAGAGAGGGAAAGAGAATCCCAAGCAGACTCTGCACTGAGTGCAGAGCCCAGTGCAGGGCTTGATCTCATGCCCCTGACTTCATGACCAGAGCTGAAACCAAGAGTTGGAGGAGGCTTAACCAGCTATGCTACCCAGGCATCCCATGACCCAGTTTTTTGACTGAGCTTGTTAATTTTTTGTCATTCAGTCCAGGCTTTGACAGATCAGTGAAGTTTTAATGATTTCTGTTCCATGTAGCTGATTATAATCTGAAACTGAGGTTGCTTTCATATAAGCAGATGGGCTTCTTCAGGCTTGTTACTACTTTCGCACAATACTGGTTGTCAGAAATGCAGTCCTTCCTCTTGTTCTAGTTTGAGTCCTTTGTCCCTGTGTATACTCTGACACTATTTCTGAGTCTAGCAAGGGAGTTTACAAGGGGCCAGTGGAGTTTACAAGGGGCCAGTGGATCAGTACTAAGTTCCTGTCTTATTAGTGTTATATGTGCATTGCTTAAATGTCCTGCCTGAGCTGTGCTCCTGACTAATCAGGTTCTTTGGTCTGGGTCCCTGACTCATGGTTGCCTAGATCTTGTCTAGCTCTCTGGCATTTTGTTCCCAAGTCTCCTGGCCTGAGTCTTGACTTTGGCCTAAGGAAATCATCCTAGTTTTAACCTCTTGGCTGCTTCGACCTGTAGCTCATGCTTTTTTCTCCTAATTTTCCTGAATATTTTCAAGCCTCCTTCCTGGAACTAGCTAGCTTCTTTTCTTTTAAGTCTCTGTGACTAGGAGTATGATGGGCCCCACCGTGTGGGCCTGGCAATGGAATTGGTTACTTTTCTGATGGTGTAACTAGGTTGGCAGTTATCAAGAAAGTTAGAAAGACTTTAGCATCTTTAACCTCAGACCTCTGGCTGTATGCTCAAGGTGAAAGATCATGCCTTTCTAGATCTTTTGGGCCTTATGTATTCACCTTCTCTTTTCTGTTTTTCTTCCTGATTTTTTTTTCTTCATCCAAATTAGATTGCCACCTCCTTCTTTTTATTCCTCTGTGCTGTCTTTGCAAATCACTATTATAGGATCAGTAACTAGAACTAGAATTCTTGAGTGCAATGACATGTGAATTTATGTTTTTATAAATCTTACCAAATTGCCCTCCATACTAAGAATGTGTATGAGTGTATATTTTTTCATACCCTTACTAGTAGTAGGTTTTATCAGACGTACCCATTTTTAATAATTTTTGCCATATTATGGCTTAGCTTACATTTCTTTAAACATTAGTAAGATTGTACATTTAAAAAATACATTTATTGGCCATTTGTATTCCTTTTGTGAACTACCTGGACATTTTTTTTTTTTTTTTAAGAACTCTCAAGGTGATTATAATATGCTTGAGAACCATGGCTTTAGAAGATTTAACAGCTGATTAGATATGGGGAGAATGGGCTGTGTCCAATATCTAGTCCAGGTGATACCATTAACAAAGAATGTTGCAGCAGGAGCTCCTTTTATTAGGAAACTATAAATAGAATTTAGTTTTAGTTCTTTAATTTGAATTTTCATAACTCTAACTTTTATTTTTTTTTCCTTTTTGCAGTTGAAATGGATGCAGTCAGAACTGAATGTTGAAGAAGTTGTAAATGACAGGAGCTGGAAGGTATAAAATAATGCTGGTTCTTGGAGAGAACTATGAAGGAAACTGAACTAGCAAGGGGAAACCAAGGGAGGGGGAGTAAGAAGTGCCTTGGGCCTTTTTAGACATCTTTCATTTATAAGCAACTGAAGGTTTTAACTTTGAGAAAGGGTGCAGTTGGCATCCAAATAGAGCCAGCTTATAAAAATCAGCTTTACAGTCATATGGTAGATTGTATGACCTGTCATGGTAACAGAACTGGAGACATTCTTTATGTTTCTTAATACTAATTATGGGCATACTTGTTATTTAGGGTTATTACTAATTAACTTAGAACCTTCAGTGGTGTTATTTGTTAAAATTAGCCTTTTTGAGCCCTATTACTTTGCATAAATTCATATCGTTAGCTACCCTTTGCAGTTGCTTGCTTTCTAACATATTGATCATAGAACTTATTTGTACATAACTTTTCTGATATCTGATAATAGGGCCTTTTATGGCTCCCTGGTTCACATGTTCCTTATTACCACCTGTGTAGTTCTGAATAGGAATTAGATTGGAGGACCAGGATTCCAGGATTTTACCTATAGTCAAAAAATCATAAAATGCTGACTTTAGTTGTATGAAATGGTATATCTGTATACCCTTCTCTAAAAATTCAAAGATTTCTGAAGGGAAATAATCTATTAAATCTGAAGGAATTAACCGAAAATTCTGTTTCATCCTTTGAAATTGACCAATGGAATGAGGTTAAACACAGAGAGAGGTTAACTGAACACAAACTAGAATGTCCCAACTTGCAGAGCTATGAATAAATTGCAAAGTACAAATTGATTTTCTTTGCCGTATCACTTTTCTTTATTCTGTCCTCTTTGCCAAGGTTTCCTATTCTTGCCCTTTCTACCAACGTGAGAAGGTGTTTGCTACTTGAAAGATTCTGGTGTTACTTGTTCATTTATGTTCTCCAGAGAGATAATATTTACTCTTGGGATGGCATAGGGGAGGGGTACAATGAATATCTAGTTTGAAAAACCCAATGGAGAGGTTGATATATGTCAGATGTAGTGGGATGAGGGAAACGTTTTTATTTCTTAATATTATTTTTAAAAATTATTTTTAAGTAGGCTCCGTGCCTCGTGTGAAGCCCAAAGTGGGGCTTGAATTCAAATCCCTGAGATCAAGACCTGAGCTGAAATCAAGAGTTGGCCACTTAACCGACTGGCACCCCAAGTGAAGCATTTTTATTTTTTTATTTATTTTATTTTAAAGATTTTATTTATTTATTTGACAGAGAGAGACACAGTGAGAGAGGGAACATAAGCAGGGGGAGTGGGAAAGGGAGAAGCAGGCTTCCCGCTGAGCAGGGAGCACGATATGGGGCTTCATCCCAGGACCCTGGGGATCATGACCTGAGCCGAAGGCAGGTGCTTAAGACTGGCTACCTAGGTGCCGCTCAAGTGAAGCATTTTTAGATTTGATACTAGTTTTAAAGAAAATATGCTCCATCCAGTCTACAAAAACTTAGGTTCCCTACTTGATTTAAAAAAAGAAAATGTAGCTACGGTGCAGTAGGTCAGCAAAAGTGGTTAGGAAGGCATTTAGAAAAAGGATTTGGAGAAGTTTGGCCAAGTCATATATATCATCCCACCCAGGGTGCCAAGGCCACTAATCTGAAGCCTCCGATTTGAGCATTGGGAACTTAAGGGAAATGTCAGGGCTGGGAACTGACAAGAAATGAGCTATAAGACGAAAGGGCCAGAAAGGGTCTATATAATTTCTACATTTTTTCTTCTAATTGTGAGATAACACATATCAAAGAGTATGTAACATAGCATGTAAGGAATATTAATAAAATGAACATTCATGTATCTACCACCCAGCTTAAGAGATTGAATAATACCACTACCGTAAAAGCTCCCTATGTAGATTTTTCTTTTATTTTTTTATGATAGTCCACAGTGTCCAATATAGGTTTTTTTGTGTGTGTTTTGTTTTGTTTCTTAACCTTAAAAATAATTTGTTCCTTATGTCAATGAAGTATGAGGGTAAATTCTAAGAAGAAATTCTTTTAGATTTGTATAATTTTTTATTTGGACACTTAAAATTTTTAGGTACGATTAAATTTTTTTTTTTTTTTTTTTTAAAGATTTTTTTTTTTTTTCTTTTTATTTATTTATTTGAGAGAGAGAATGAGATAGAGCATGAGAGGGAGGAGGGTCAGAGGGAGAAGCAGACTCCCTGCCGAGCAGGGAACCCGACGCGGGACTCGATCCCGGGACTCCAGGATCATGACCTGAGCCGAAGGCAGTCGCTTAACCAACTGAGCCACCCAGGCGTCCCACGATTAAATTTTTTTTAAAATATTAAACGAAATATGATAAAAATTCTTCTCATTCCTCCATTTCAGCCACCTCCTTTCCTTTCCTTCTGAAAAAATGATACATGCTTTAGATATTTGCACCTTTTCTAATTTTATGTATGTCTGTTTCCCATTTGTCACATCTATGAAAGTGTACTGTCCACACTTTTTTTTCTTTAGTATATCTTGGAGATTTTTTCACATCAGAACACACAGAGCTTCCTTATTCTTTTATGTTTGCATTATAGTCCACTGAATGGCTATACCAAAATTTTTATTTAACACAGTCCCATATTGACAGACACTGAAAAATGTTCTTTTAACATTTATGATATATTATTTGTTTAGATTTTTAGGAAGCAAGGTAAATAGAACAAAACATTTTATAAATTTACACAATTTAGCAAAGGCCTGATCTCTCTTCAAGTATACCTACTTGTGAAAAAGATCCCATACTCAGAAAATCACAACAGATATCTAAATAAAATCTACATTACAAAAAGAGGGAAAAAAGCTTTATCTTAAATCATTTCAGATATTTTTGTCTAACTGTCTAGAATATGTAATGAAAATGTTTGTTAGTTACTAAAGCTAGCTTGTGATGATTTTTTCCTTGAATAATATAAAGTTTATTAAAAAATCAAAATTGTCTTATAAATGGATATCAAAGTCTTCTGTATTCTTAGCGCCTATAAGTCACTTTGAACTCATGAGGAAAATTTTCTGTTCCCTAAATCTGTTGACCTGGGATAAAAATGGTTATATCCTCCTGAACCATACCAAATTTAATTTAGTTCCAGGCTTGATTTATACAAGATGACTCAACGACTTTTGTTTCTGTTTAAATATCTTAGGTGTTTAATGAACGCTGCCGAATTCACTTCAAGCCTCCAAAGAATGAATAAAAAGATACTTTTTTTTAAATAAAGGACCGGGACATCTCATAAGAGCTAAGCATGACAGACATCAACAAGGTGGGCTTCCTAGGATGATTTCTGAGCCAACAGTCCAAGACCTTTTGTTGATTTTGGCCCCACTTAGCCAAGACCTTAAGTACAAATAATTCTGATAATTATGGAGAAATCAACTGCTATTTTATACTGATTCTGTAAAAAAAAAAAAAAAAAAGAAGAAGAAGAAGATGCTTTTGTAACTATTAAAATAATTTTCTGACTCAGTGTACATATTTATTTGATTGTTTTCCAAGTTGAGATAATAAGTTCTTATAAGAGAATTTGAATACAGTTTCAGTATCTGATTTGATTTGTATTATATCTTTTTTGATGTTTTACAAATTTATTGGCAAGAACGTGGACCTTTTTTGGTCATTGATGATTTTATCCTTTTATTTATCTTTGTGGGGTTTGTTGCTCCTAATGAGTAAGATGGCAATAATTATAAGCTGCATGCTGTCCAAAGAAACTTTCTCCTTGGTACCTTACCTTATCTTGTTTTCATATGCAAAAACTAATTTTGGGTGGAATTTTCCTGGACAGTATTTCCATGGGCAATGAAAACGAAAACAGTAAAATAAATTTGGGAAAGGCAGAGGAAGGCTTGTATGATACTATTCAAATGAGTCAGTAAAAAACATATCATTGCAGAATTCGGTCATTGCAGAGAAAGCACTTTCTAGTACAGGATGATCATAATTAGTTTTCTGTTGCTGATTAACAAATTACCACAGTTTAGCAGCTTAAAATCACACCTGTGTATTGTTTTATAGTTATGTAGGTCAGAAGTTCAAGACTGGGTTCTCTGCTTGGGGTGTCATAAGCTGAAATCAAGTCAGCCAGGCTGGGCTCTTGTCTGGTGCCTCTATAGAAAGAATGTGCTTCTCGGCTCATTTAGTTTGTTAGCCGAATTCAGATCCTTGTGGTTATAGGACTGATGTGCCCATTCCCTTGCTGTTATCAGAGGCCACTCTAAACTAGAAGCTACCCACATTTTTTGGCGCATGGCCCCCTCCTTCTAGCTAGCAACAGTGTATTGAATTCTTCTCATTCTTGGTATCTGACTTCCTTTTCTGCTAAAAACCAGACAGATTTTGCTTTCAAAGGGTCTTTGTGATCAGATTAGGCCTATCATGACAGTCTTCCTTTTGATTAACTCAGAGTCAAATGATTATAGCCTTAATCTGCAAATCCCCTTTGCCAGGTAACATCACAGATGTAATGTCTTCTATTCTCAGTCTAAGGGATTAGAGTAGGACATCTTGGAGAGCCATTTTAGGATTCTGCCTACCATGATGATTTAAACAAGCCACCTGGCTCTAGCACAGTTAGATTGACCAACTGGGTCATTGGTAGGCCTATGTTTCAGTATGTGTACCCTCATCAGATTATGCATTTAGAAGTGAGCAATAAAAGTATAAAATGTGCACTGTTCTTTCAACAGATCTTTTGAGTACTTACTGTCGGTCAGATACTGTCTTAGTTGTTGGGGATATTGATAGATAAAACCTACTTTTGTGGAGATTATAATCTAGTCTTCTTAAAAAGGAAAAATCTCTTAGGGCCAGCAGTAAAAAAGATTTTCTATAGGACTTAAAGTGAATGGTGCCTGACAGAAAGTTGATACTTTTTTTTTCTTGCATATGTCTTTTCAATTGAAAGGACTCAATAAAAAGTAAGACTCAATAAATAAAGATCTTCCTGATGCTCAGGAGGGAATTGAGAAACAGTCCTTGGAAAGGATTCATAACAGCTTTTCCAGAATTTCAGGTCTGCTAAAATACTATCTAGCTAATCCAATTATGTTAGTAGGATGCCTGAATCATCCCAATGTAACATGAAAAGTGTGCGATTGTGGCAATCAGTGACTTTTACTATAATGAATATTAGTATGTTTAGTTTGTGATGAATGGCACTTAAACCGTCAAATATGAAGAGAAAGGGATGGCATACTATTCTTAACCGAATGAGCCACCCAGGCGTCCTGGGATGGCATACTATTCTTGAAAGTTGATTTGCCTCTTGAAACAGTGTCTTGTATACTGCTGCCTTAAACAATAATTGTTGATTTTGTTGGCTTGAAGGATAGGTAGGATTTATTTATTTTTTTAAGATTTTATTTATTTGACAGAGATAGCGAGAGCAGGAACACAAGCAGGGGGAGTGGGAGAGGGAGAAGCACGCTTCCCGCTGAGCCGGGAGCCTGATGCGGGGCTTGATCCCAGGACCCTGGGATTATGACCTGAGCCGAAGGCAGACGCTTAAGGACTGAACCACCGAGGCGCCCTGATAGGTAGGATTTAGCCAGAAAGAGAGGGAGAAGAAGCTGAATGCAAAAGTTCAAAGGTGAGTTTGACTCTTCCTTGGCAGGACAGAAGATAGCCATAGAAGAAACACCAACCCTTAAATGTTTGAGTCTCTCCCATATTCTAGGCACTATTTGCCAATACTATACATCACTGAACAAAACAGATAAAAAAATACCTGCTCTTAAAGAACTTATATGTGGTGAAGAGAGATGGACAGTAGTAAGGAAGTAAAGCATATAGTATGCTGAAAGGTGATAAAGCTACATGCCAAAAAAAGAATCTGGAATGGGGAGTAGAGAGTGGGTGGCAAATGACTGATTTCAGCTGATTAGAGAGTATTATAATTCCCTGTCTTTGAAAAGCCAATTTAAATAGAGACAAATAATACCAAATAAATGCAGTAATAAAAAGGAAGTTTTCTAGTAAGTCATGCTCTCTCTCTTTTTTTTTTAAAGTAATCTCTGTACCCAACGTGGGGCTCAAACTTAAAACCCCAAGATCAAGAGCCGCATGCTCTACCAACTGAGCCAACCAGGTACTCTGGTCATTCTCTTTTTCAAGTTTTGCTTCAAAGATAGCCAGTTTAGGAAATGGCGCGATAATGTACCCAGTGCTATACAGTAGTCTCTGCTGTGCCATGCTACCTATTTAAGACCGTCCAGGGATAACTTGTAAACTGGGAGATTAGTCCAACATGTGGTTTCCCAGCAAATCAAGAAAAATGAGTATTCTGCCTGGAGTTATGTGAGCTAATCAAATGTTGGAGATTACTGAGGTTACTCATGATATCTGTGTGTACCTTTAGCCTAATAGTTAAGCCTTGATTGTTCGTTAAAAAAAACAAAACCAAAAAACACTTCTTATATGGTTGAGCATGAATGTTGAAGAATAAAGAAAATAGTCATAAAGTGATTCTTCCTGATAGGGGCAGCGTTTCTAAGAGAAGCCTAATTTACCCAACAGCGTTATTTTGGAGAGGAAACACAAAATGTTAATGAGGTTTAAGCAAAGATAGCTTCCAGCTTCTGAATGCATCCCAGCCCCGGGCTGTCTGTCTCCAAATTAAGTGAGGGCAGGGATTTTTAATTTATTCATTGAGGGATATAAAGGAGTGGTTCACTTATTTGGTTAAGCCTCTATGTTTAGGATTCTGTTACATGGAGCCGAATGATATGTTCAATGAACGAACAGTATACTACTACTAATAGCTCATTTGTTCATTGCTTACTACAAATTAGGTACCATTCTAAGTATTTTACATGACTGCCATATTTGGGAGACAAAATTTGGGAAATTCTAATAGGCAAAGGCTAAAGACCAGGCCCTACACCAGGCCAGAAGTGTATGAAGGAATTTGTGGGAAATTCATCTTCTTTCTCTAAGAATGACTTGACATTGAGAGCTAGTCCAACTAGGATCTGTTCATTACTTGGCTCCTAAGGATTTGGGTCAGATCTCATTCATATATCGCAACAAACCAATGCAGAGGGTTTTTTGTTTCGGGGGGGTTTTTTTATGCTCAGTTGTGAAATCTACATTAAATCTCTCTCTCCCCCCTAATCAGTCATGCCTTACTTCTCTAAGGACACAATATTCCTGTCTGTCCATCCATCCATTCATTCCTCCATCCATATGTTTGTCATGTGGATCATATACCAGCCACACCACAGCCCTTTCTAGGAAGGACTCTTTGGCCCTTATCTCCTACTGAAATAGCACCCCTTGGTAGCCCGTTTTGCACTATGCATCACTAGGGCTGGGCAACTGCCCAAGAACTGCTAACCTTAAGTTGGCCAGTGTCTTAGGACATGTCATGGGGCAAGAAGATGATCTGGACAATCAAATTCTTCAAGACTTTGAACTGAGAAATACTGAGGAAATGATGTAGTTAGCAGTGGAAGGTGAAGCTTGAAGGAAGTGGTGATGAGGTACAATAGGGGGCCACGAGGGTCCAGTGTTCTGAGAAAGCAGGACCCGTGAGGATGCACACCATGAAGCAGGGAGAATTATACAGAAGAAAGAATGCCAGTTGGAGCTGGCACAAAAGTGGACAGAAACAGATGCAGACAGCTGCTTGGGGAATAGCTGAGCCCATTCATAGTAGAGCTCTAGAGTAAAAACCCGCATCCATAGTTCCTCAGGTTCTTAGAGCTGCCTTGGATTCCGGTTCTTGGGTCTCCAGCTTTGAGACCCAGTTCTGTATGGGTCCCCCTTCACAAGGCCTGGTTGTTTGACATTTCCTAGATTCCTAAGCAGATGCATCTTTATGATAAATCTGTGTATTACATAAAATAAGTTCTCTTGAACCAAAGGAGTCTATCAAGAACATTCCCACTGGGTCAGGTGGCCAAGCGATATCTCCCTATTTAAACTATCCATTGACATTAGGACATTTTTTCCTCATCCAATACCTCCTCATATTGTCATTTAAAGCACCAGGTATGTGCTTGGATAGTTTCTTGGGAAAAACTCCCCACTGTGTCTGAACCAAGTTCCAGCAGGGGAAGCCTCAGAAGCCTCCAGGGTCCAGGATGAGTCTTTGGCTCTCTCCTAAAATAAGAAACCAGGCAGAAAATCATAGATTCACTCCCTCAGGTAAGTGAAGAAACCTGTTTCCCAAGACAGAACAGAGAAGGTATTGCCTACAACCCTGAGCAGAATCATGCCCTCTGAGTTGTAACTTGGCCCATTACTGGTCATTATTTAAAAACAGTCTGTGGCAGAGAATTTGGGAGGGCCTGACAGACAGCTGGGGTTGAGTCCTTCACCTTGGCAAGGCAAGAGTACATTCAGTTTCTCTCTTTGGGGTTAGACAAAACAATTTTTGCGATAGAGTTACAAATTCTATGTACAAATGCTCCCAGATTCCATTTCAAATTTGATGGGGAAAAATGCTTCAGAAATGCAATTTTCCCTTGGTTGCAATGTACTGTAAAGGAAAGCAGGGTTTTTTTGGAGGAACTTGCCCCTTTATTTGGATAAGCCCTAAATGACCAATGAGCTTTCAAATACCCTTTCCATCAACTGGACAGCCTACAATTATCCAGTTATAGATATATTTTCTTTTTGTTTTTCTTGGAATTCCAACAGTTCTTGGGAAGTAAGTCTAATTGTTCAAATACCACTTCCTTATTTTTTAAAATGTCACTCCCTTTAAAAAATTATCTTCCACATTAAAATTGTTTTTAAAAAGAGTCATTTCTCAACATAGTGTAAATCTTCAACAATAGTGTAATTTTTCAACAACATTTAGTCAATGAAAAATAATTTTCACACTTTTTATTTTGCTGGGACTAAACAGATTTGGGTTACGTTTTTTGACGTGTTTTTTTTTTTTTTTTTTTTCCTGTTTTCATCATCTTGTTTTAGGCTGGTCTCAGCCTATCAATAACCAATGTTGTGGCTGGAGCAGTACGTGTAGTTCTTACTATGATTGCAAGACACCCTTAGGCCCTTAAGCAATAACTGTCAGGAAACTTTGGAGGGGAAACATTATTACTTGCAAGATCTGGAAATTACATAGCATACCTGGGCCCACAAAGTGAAGTCACAGGGAGAGAGAAAGACATTGCCCTGGCCTGGAATTCTGTTTTTATTGGGGGTGGAGGATGGGGGGCCTAGGGTTTTGGGGGCTCGCTCTTTATTGGTGAATTTAAAATGTAAGAATGGAAATGTAAAGCATGGGAAGAGAGAAAGAAAACAAGTGGCCCAGATGGTTATCGAAATTAACCAAGATCTCTAAAACAATGGAGTCCTCATTTGAGGGAGGTGGCTTGGTTCTTCACTTGGTCTGTGGCTGGTGCTGTGTTTATTTGAGATAGTTATCTTGGAAGAGGATGAGTCTTTGAAGTGGATGCCTCACCAAAGCTTAAATGAGGCACTTGTATTACAAAAGCAAAACAAATAAACAACTGTCAGGGTTTACCCTACACATCTATTATGTTTTTAACCTACTAGCAGAAATTTTTTGTAGTATTTTAAGTTTTGAAATATATTTTCAATTCAAGTATTTCCATTAAACCTTTCTCCTTTTTCCTTTATATCACTCTAGTACTCAGCCTTGGCTGACATTAGAATCATCTAGATAGACTCTTTCTCAGATTTTTACTCAATTAGTCTGCATGGGGCCCGACTTGGGACTTTTATTTTATTTTAAAGATTTATTTATTTGAGAGAGAGAGAGAGAAGCAGACTCCCCACTGAACAGAAAGCCCGACTCAGGGCTCCATTCTGGGACTACTGGATCATAACCTGAGCCAAAGGCAGACGCTTAACCTACAGAGCCACCCAGATGCCCCCCAACTTGGGACTTTTAAAAAAATTATAAACCAAGTGATTCTAATATGCAGGGATGATTGAGAATCACTGCACACATTACTTGATCTTCTTTCCTATTCCTATTTGCTACTATGTTCTCACTAACATGAAGTTTACTTAACCAGTGACAGGATATGTTTATCCATTTATTCAAGTCTTTTAGTTCCGACAGTGAAGTGCTGTAATTGTCTTTACATATGTTCTGTATGTCTCTTACTAGATTAATTCTTAAACATGTGGTATATTCAGTCTTCTATACCAAAATCAGGATAAAGTACAAATAAATCTAATCAATCTGATTATAGAGTTTTGTATATCCTGCTCTGAGTTTATAACTACAGATGTTTGTGTCCATGTTTGCATTTCTCGGAAAAGGATTATTAGGCCAGTGAGATAATTTCTGGTAGTCTCTGTTACCTAAGAGCCGTATGGCATTAATATTAGCCAGCCAGTGGAGATCTTTTAGTTCATTGATTGAAGTTAATATCTCTGTGCTAGGAGCTGACGGCAGATGGATAAGACAGTTCCTTTATTATGAAGCATCTAGCAGTGGTCATTACATACATATATATCACTACACTATTTCAAGCTCTCCCTTGCCTCCTACAGGGGTCAGAATAGCTGAGCAAATGAATTCTGAGCTTGTGTTAGTAGAGTGTAGGAATTAAGAGCATTGGTCCTGGAGGCAAATAGCCTGGGATTATATCTTCACTTTATTAACTAGCCATGAGGTCCTGGGCAGTAACTTAACCTCTCTACACTCAGTCTTCTGTAAAGAGGGGATAATAACAATATTTATTTCATGAGGTTGTTATGGGAATTAAATGAGTTACATGTGTAAAGTCTTTAGAACACTACCTGGTATAAAATAAGCACTTAATATATACTATTATTATTTGGGGACAGGGGGATTGACAAGTGGCACTAAAAGGATGATGAACAGAGTGCAGAACACAGAGGGAGACATTAGTTAGGGCATCTTTTTTTTTTTTTTTTTTAAGATTTTATTTATTCATTTGAGACACAGAGATACAGAGAGAGAGCACACGTAGGGGGAGAGGCAGAGGGAGAGGGAGAAGCAGGCTTCCCGCAGAGCAGGGAGCCCGATGTGGGGCTCAATCCCAGAACTCTGGGACCATGACCTGAGTCAAAGGCAGACGCTCATTTAGGGCATCTTTAAAACAAATTTCCTCTTTTGCTTTCTCTTCTTCTCTCCTTTCTCCTTCTCTTTCCTTCCACTTCTTCCTTACCTCTCCTTCCTAACAATTCAGTCCAAAATCTGTTAGGTAGGTCCAAAGAAGGAATACTATGAACAATTATATGCCAATAAAATAGATAATACAGATTGAATGAATATATCTTTAGGAAGACAATACTAAAACCAATTCAAGAAGAGTCAATCTAAATAGACCTATAACAAGTGAAGAGTTAAATTAGTAATCACCCATAAAGAAAAGCCCAGGCCCAGATAGCTCCACTGCTGAATTCTACCAAACATTTAAAGAAGAGTAAATACCAATTCTACACAAATTCTTCCAAAAAGTAGGAGAGGAAAACTTTCCAACTCATTCAGTGAGACCACTATTACATAGATACCAAAACCAAACAAAGACATCACAAGAAAGCTACAGATCAATATCACTCATGAATATGGATGCAAAAACCCTCAACAGAATGCTAGCAAACCAAATCTAGCACATAAAAAATAATTATATACCATGACCAAATGGGATGCATTGTAGGAATGTGAAGATGGTTTAACATTCAAAAATCAATTAATGTAAAGCACTATAGTGAAAAAACAAAAAGCAAAACCACATGAACATCTTAAAAGATGCAGAAAAAAAAAAGATGCAGAAAAAAAGGCATTTGACAAAATCCAATAAATAGCCTTCCATAATTTTAAAAAACTAAAAGAAAATGTCATCAACTTGATAAACGGCATCTACAAAAACCCCACAGCTAACATCATACTAAATAGTAAATGACTGAAAGCTTTCCCCCTAAGATCAGGAACAAGACAATAATATACACTCTCACCACTTCTTTTTAACTTTGTACCAGAGGTTCTAGACAGTAATTAAGGATGAAATAAAAGATATTCAGACTAGACAGGAAGAAGTAAAACTGTCTCTCTGCAGATGCCATGACCTTGTTGTACAGGAAAATCCTGAGAAACAAATTACCAATAAACAAATTCAGCAAGATTGAAGAATACAAGACCAATATACAAAAATTGATTGCATTTCTATACACATGCAATTAACAAGCCAAAATGAAATTAAGAAAACAATTTTATTTACAATAGCACATGTGAGAATAAAATGCTTAGAAATAAGTTTAACAAATAAGTGCAAAACTTATACTCTGAAAACTATGGAACACTGTCGAAAGAAATTACAGAAAATGTAAATAGTTGAGGAAACATCCCATGTTCATGGATTGGAAGGTTTAATATTGTTAAAATGGCATTACTTCCCAAATTGACCTACAGATTCAACATAATCCCTATCAGAATCTTAATTGACTTCTTTGTAGACATTTATAAGCTGATTCTAAAATTCATATAGAATTTCAAAGGGCCAGAAGAACCAAAACATTCTTGAAAAAGAACAAAGTTGGAGGATTCATACTTGTTGATTTCAAAACTTACTACAAAGCAACAGTAATCAAGAAAAGTGTGGTACTGGGCACCTGGGTGGCTCAGTCGGTTAAGCGTCTGCCTTAGACTTAGGTCATGATCCTAGGGTCCTGGGATTGAGGCCCACATCAGGCTCCCAGCTCAGCGGGGAGTCTGCTTCTTCTTCTCCCTCTGCCCCTACCCCCTGCTCATGCTTGCTCTTTCTCTCTCTCTCAAATAAATAAATAAAATTTAAAAAAGAAGACATGTAGATTAATGGAACAGAAATGAGCATCCAGAAATGAATTTATGTGACTGTGATGTTTCAACAAGGATGCCAAGACCATTCAATGTGGAAATGAATAGACTTTTCAACAAATGGTGGTGGAACAATTAGATAGCCACTTACAAAATAATCAAGTTGGATCCTTACTGCATATTATTTATAAAAATTAACTCAAAATAGAAACTTAATTCAAAAGGGATCAAACACCTAAAGGTAAATATTAAAACTACACAACTCTTAGAAGAAAACATAGGAGTAAATCATTATGAGCTTGGATATGGTAAAGGATCCTTAGATCTGACACCAAAAGTACAACAACTTAAAAAAACAAACTGATAATTTGGATTTCATTAAAATTAAAAACTTTGACACTTCAAAGGACAGCATCAAAAAGTAAAAAGAAAGTAGGGGAGAAAATATTTACAAATCATATATCTGATAAGGGACTTGTATCCAGAATATGCAAAGAAATCTTACAACTCAATAATAAAGACAAATAGCCTGATTTAAAAATGGGCAAAGGATCCGAATAGACATTTCTCCAAGGAAGATATGCAAATGGGTATTAAGATCATGAAGGATGCTTGACATCATTTGTCATCAGGAAAATGCAAATCAAAGCCATAACACAATACCACTTCATGCCCACTACAATGGCTAGACTCAAAAAAGCAGAAAATAACAAGTGTTCAGGATGTGGAGAAATCCAAACCATCCTACCCTGTGGTGGGAATGTAAAATGGTGCAGCTACTCTGGAAAACAGTCTGTAAGTTCCTTGAACAATTAAACATATAGAGTCACCCTATGAAACAGCAATTTCACTCTTAGGTATCTACCCAAGAGAAATGAAAACATATATATGGGCAAAAAATAAATAAAATGTGTGCAAATGTTTATACATTGTCCATAATAGTCAAAAGGTGAAAGCAACCCAAATATCCATCAGCTGATAAGTGGATGAACAAAATGTAGTATATGCATAAAATTGAATATTATTTGACCATAAAATGGAATAAAAGATCAGCACATGCTACAACATAGATGAATCTCCAAAACATTATGCTAAGTGGAAGAAGCCAGTTGCAAAAACCATATGTGATTTCATACATATGGAATGTCTAGAATAGGCAAATCTTTAGAGACAGAAAGTAAATAAATTAGTGATTGCTTAGGGGTGAAGATGTGGAGGAGGATGGGGGATAATAGCTAAAAGGTATGGGGTTTCTTTTTGAGGTGATGAAAATGTTCTAAAATTGGCTGTGGCAGTTGCACACATTTTTAAATGTACTAAAAACTATTGAATTGTCTAATTGTATAATTGGGTGACTTATATGGTATATAAATTATATCTTAATAGAGTGTTAGAAAAGAGAAAAATGGCAATTAAATGGAACACTTGGTTTTGGACTGGAGCTTTTAGCAATAAAAGACATTTTGGGGAAGGTGAATGTTGTCTGGGGATTAAATGTTAGTAAATGTATCAGTGTTAACTTCCTGATTTTGATGGTTGTATTTCAGTTATTCAGGAGAAAATGCTTGTTTGTAGGAAGTGCACACTAAAATATTTGTTGGTGATGAGGCATCACTGTAGGTAACTTACTCTCAAATGTCTGGGAAAAAAGATTTTTTGCAACTTGTCTGTAAGTTTGAGATTATTTCAATATATAAATATACTTTGTAAAATACCTGATTTAATTTTAAAATGTCAGGCTAGGGATGGAATATTGGATTCTCTGCTACCACAGGGCACTGATAGCCCATGATCTAGCCTGCCTGTGGTGGGAATGGTGGTGGTGGTGGTGGTGGTCTTATCCTTTAGCTAGTTGCATTGGGCCTGACTAATTTCTATAAGATTTCCAATTGACATCAATTTGTATGGAATTCCTACTCTAAAGCAATAACATTGACTTTGAGAAAGAGAAGGTAAATACTATTTAATTCAATGAAAGAGAAATAGTTGAAGAAATAAATCTATTTGAAAAGGAATGTTTGCTTATTGATAGTTACATTTATTAGCAGGGAACATTAGTTAGTAGCCAGTGGAAAGTATCAGACCACTTTTGGAACATGCTGCTAAAAGCCTGTGATCTCATCGTCCTTGCTTTTGTCAGTCTGGTAACCAGTAAGTGTCAAAGTTGGATTTGGTCCAGGAAGGCCTTTGAATACTTTCATGTGAATATAACTATTATCACCTACTCGCACCTAAAAGATAAAAAAAGAAAAAAAAATGAAAAGGAAATTCATTCAGATGGATCTATGTCAAGTGAAAGATCTACAGACTTAAAGACTCACCGAAATAAGTTTTCAGGAACAGTATTTCTATATCAGCATTCTTAGACCCTTGATTTTCATAAGCCTACCACGTTATTTTATGAGAAAGGGCAGGCTAAAGGCATGGCAAGAGGCATAAGCCCTTCATTTATTTTATTTTATTTTATTTTATTTTATTTTATTTTATTTTATTTTATTTTAATTTCTCTACTGCTTGGGCACAAATGAAAGTACATTTCATTTTCAAAGATGCACAAAGCAAGAAAACAAGTGACAGTCTCTTTATTGATTCTGTTTTTTGACTTCCAAATTGGGATACTTTATTTGCCACATGGTTTGAGAAGGGAGGAGAAAATCAGAATTGTCTTAGAAAATTTGGGAGGTGTGGTTCCCATATCTATATTAGAACCTACACTATAAATGCCCACTGATAGGACTGAGCAGACACCAGGGGATGGACAGTCTAGGGTCCCTTTAACGTAAAGGGATCTTGCTGGGAAGTCATTGGTATGAAAATTGAAATGGTAGTTTGGGCATGAATCTGGGACCTAGAATATCATGGTGAGAATTTCTACTTTTGTTTTTGGTTAGGACAATAAAAGTTTTGTCTTAGAATAATATTTTTTATGTTCTGATGTCCCTTCTTAATTAACAAATACCATTTATCAAATGTTTACTATGATTCAGAGGCTATGATATAGAATATTTTATGTACTTCTTACTATAGGCCTGAATAAAGGTAGAACAATGACAATTTTATACATGCAGAAGCAGATTAGGAGAGATTAAGTAATTTTCCATAAATTTCTTAGCTAATAAGTGACAGAGTCAAAACCTAAATCTAGACTCCAACATTGATGTTCTTTTCACTCTACATTATAACTATTATTTTTTTTCATGTAGGTTCCACACCCAGCATGGAACCCAGTGTGGGGCCTGAGCTCACAAGCCTAAGATCAAGACCTGAGCTGAGATCAAGAGTTGGATGCTCAACCAGCTGAGCCACCCAGATTCACCCACAGTGTAACCTTTTAAAAGCATTTATTCTGCGTTTGGAACAGGACATCAGCCTTTGCATACATTATTAGAAGCAGCACAGCCAGTAGTTAAGCATCAGACCTCCTGGGTTCAAACCCTGGCTCTGCTCCTATAACTGTATGACCTTTGTTAGTTACTCCATCTCCCTGGGCCTCCATTGTCTCATCAGTAACACGAGGGAAATGATCATACTTATCTCATAGATTTGTTGAGAGGATTAAAAGAGAGAACACACGCTCAGCTCTTAGAACAGAGCCTGGCACATTGTAAGTGCTCAGTAAATTTCTAGCTCATTTACTCACACAACACCTGGCAAAGTAGGTTTTTATCTGCATTGTGCAGATAAAGACACTGAGGCTCAGAGAAGATGAGGGGCTGTGATCACACAGGCACTGACTAATGGAACAAGTTGAACAAGGGTTCAAACCCAGAACTGTCTGACACCAAAGCCTGCACCCCATCTATTCCACCACCTGGCTTTTGATAGGTACTTGAAAAAGAACACAGAAGGTCCCATCAACAGAAAGACCTTAAATGTAGAGAGCAGTTCAGAGCAGAGATCAACAACTAGACAGCCAGGAAGTAATGAGGGAACTGGGGTCAGGAGTTGTAATCCAGTAGGAGAAATCTAACCAGGCAGGTGGTCTTAAGGGATGAAATTTTCAATTTTTCTGATGAGCTTTTTAAGAAATACATGAGCTGGTTAATATATGAAATTTATGAACTTGGACTAATTGTAAATTATTAAAACAATGATCCCAATTTTGATAGAATGTTTCTTCTCTTTGAACAAAATCATTTTTAACTGGAAAAAAGTTCTTTTTCAGCTGTGAAGAAAGTAGATTGAGAAGGGAGGAAATAATGTCATTGCTTTCTGAGGATGAGGTGACATCTCATTCATGTGGGCCACCCCAGGACCTGGCATATACTAGGAGCTCAAATTTGATAGGAGTGGGCTGATTGATTTACATGACCCAGTGTTGTAATTTTCCTATGCTGAGCTGGTTAGGACCTGTTATTTTATTTTTTTGCTGAAAACATTTTTTAAACATTTTATATCTTAAGTAGTTAATTGTTAAAGAGAAATAAGCCAGACTGTGCCTTGGTCAAATGGTTTTGTAAAGATCCAAGTACATACATTTGAATGTCTGTTGTTATTATTTATTAAATCAGAATTATCATCTCAATACAAAAGGATGAAGATGGTTCTCAAATATCTATGGTTGACTTGTTGAATTGGTTCCGTCTCAACTTTGCAAACATTTTCTTCAATTAGAACTGGATAGTGCATCATTTAATTCATTGATATAGCTATAAAATAATCTTAAAATTATTTTAAATGCTCCACTGTTTTAAACTACACCTACAGTGTCACAAATTGAATCTACTTACAAATTGCAAAAATTATTTAAACTTTATTAATCAAAATGCTGTGTGAAGGACAAAAGTAGCTTCAGTTATTTTCCCACCTTAAACTACTTTAAGTCATTTCTAAAATCCATTTAATTTAGACACATAGAATCACAAAGCTTTGAGTGGAATAAGCTTCAAGATAGCATCTGGTCCAGCTCCAAGCCTTCAGGCAATTGAGATATTCTCTCACTTCACACAAAAAGCGCCATGGCCACAAACTGAGCATGCTTGGAACCGTTATGAAATCTCTTTCTATACAATTTCTGAAAATTGTAATTTGTAAATTGTAATTGTAATTTGGAAGGAGTCAATATAGGAAACCTTTCTAAATTCACAGGAAACAGATGGTATAAATATATCATCATCTGCCAAATTTGAGAGTCTACCACTTGGGAGATTTCATGCTAGGGAAACACCTTCATTTAGGATAACCGGAAGGGACAAAATATATGGTAAGGGTGCAGGGAACATCACATAAAGTGGGAAATGCAGCATCTTTTAGTGCCAAGGTGAACCCAACAAGGATGTTGAACTCTAACCTTAATGTAGTAATTTATTCCAGCAACCACTTGAGTTTTATACTCTACAGCTTCAAATTCTTGATAACTCTCATTTGTTTTTTCTTCAAGCTGAGGTTTAACCTTAAGAAGAGAGAAGAGGAAATACATTATTAAAGCTATAATGGACTCCATTTATGTGATTTACAAGTCTGGGAACCTTGTGCTTCTAAAGATGCTCAAACATGATAACGAGAGCTATTTTCAGTATTTCAAGGAAAAGAAAAGATCTACCTTTAATAAGATTACATGGGCTAACTAAAATGTTAAATTTTGTTGCTTTAGGCTGAATTTGCATCAATTCAGTGTGGTAATATGACAATATGGTAACGTTTTCACTAGTAAAACTCTGATATATAAGTCTTTGATTAATAAAAATAGAGCAATAATTACTATTTCACTTAAACTTTTTTTATTTTGAAGTAATTTCAGACTCAAAGTTGCAAAAATAGTATAGTATATCTCAAGATCCTTGATTTAATCACATCTGCAATTTCCTTTGCCATGTAAGATAGCACATTTATAGGATTCAGGGATGAGGATATTGGCCACCATTCTGTCTACTACAGAGAGATTATAAGCTTTGGTGCCAGCATGCCTGAACCCGACATGACAAGGGAATGGAGAGTCTCAAATTCAATATGTGAACTTTTACTGGATCTACCAGTTTTCAGTATCGGTCCTTCATTCCTGCCATCAGCTGAGCCTGATATTTCTAGTTTTCACTGTGATCTCTCTGACTCACTTTCTGTTAAGAGTAAATCTCCAGAATTCTGCTAGCTTGGAAGATAGTGAAAGGGAAGGATCTGGGGGTGGCCTAACTGCTCCTCAAACAGATCTGCTATCAGTTCTCCAGGCATTAGCCCCATGCCTCACTCTCATCTTCATACGTTTCTGGCGTTGCTAGTGCTTGAGCCATTTTGGAATTCTGCACCATGAATCCGCTTGCTGCTGGCTCATCACTCCCCTCTATGGTTGGGCTCCATCTAAGTGGCCCAGTCATTTTCCATCGTTTATCTGTTTTCCATCTTCCAAGGTTTGGTCAGTATTTCTGAGGTGGTGTTTGCCTATCTCCTGTTGTCCTTCTATGTGTGGTTTTGTGCCCTTTCCCCGCCTAATCTTTTCCTATCATTTAGAGGGAAAAGAAAATAGGTGTGTATGTTCGATACGCCTTGTTTATTGGGAAGTTGCCTCCCTTCCCTTCACTAAAGCATTTTACGTGTTTCAGGCAGGCATCCTGTGCATCTAGGTTCTCCCACAGCCATTCAGTCCTTCCCATCAGTAGGCAGACATATTGAATCCTTTTCTATTGGCCCCTCGGTTTGAGTACCAGAACTGGTTTTCAAAGATGTAAACATTTTGCAACTCTGAGTTCTCAGACCACTTTTGAGGGTACAACACCTCATGGACCACCACCTATTTCTCCTGTGACTTTCTGAATAGATGGGAAGAATGTGCTATTGCTTTCTTGAGATGGAAAATGAAGCTCCAAAGTGGAGAAAGGAAGAAGACAAATCATGAGGAAAAAAAAAAACCAAAAACAGAAATGGGAAGAGGTGGGGTGCAGGAAAGAGGGAAAAAAGGTAGACAGGAGTGCAGAGAGAAGTCAAGTAAGGAGAGGAGTTACTGTCCTATTGCTTCCCCTGTCTAGCCTTTCTGAGCTAACGCTGGGTACCAGTCAAGTTAGGAGCTGAGTTGGAAAGGGTTAATCTCTAAACCCAAAATTATCTATTTAAACCTCATTTTACAAATGAGGGACCTGAGGCTGTGAGGAAAACATGACTGCTTAAGGCTGAAAAATTATTAATTACAGTTATTTAAGGTTTTCCATCCCTTGCCTGATAGTTTAAGTATCTGATTTATCTGTTGCAATGATCTGTATTCCTTCTGGTCTCCAGTCTTTTGGTCATGTTTTGTTGTTGTTGTTGTTTGTTTGTTTGTTTTACCACATATCAGAAAATTTTATTTTATTTATTTTATTTATTTTTAAGATTTTATTTATTCATTTGAGAGAGCGAGAATGAGAGAGAGAGAGCACATGAGAGGGGGGAGGGTCAGAGGGAGAAGCAGACTCCCCGCCGAGCAGGGAGCCCGATGTGGGACTGGAGCCCGATGTGGGACTCGATCCCGGGACTCCAGGATCATGACCTGAGCCGAAGGCAGTCGCTTAACCAACTGAGCCACCCAGGTGCCCCAGAAAATTTTATTTCTATTTGTCCTAAAAAATAGATCAAAATCTGTAACCTTTCCACTGCATCTGTGAAGTCTACAAGTCCAGAATTTTCCACAAGAGAGCAGATTTCCAATGTCCTGGTTTGTTTTGGTAAGTGCACCGGCACCCTCTGACTGTGTGCTGCGATTTCAGGCTCACTGTACTTATAACCTGTAGCCTTGCTCTCTCTTGCCAGTAGAACAGACTGGTATTCTTCTAATGTTGGATGTTATGAACCTGGGGTGATGAGGTCTAAGCGGAGAAGCAGGAAAGGGGGCAGAATAGGAAGGAACTGGTCAGTGAAACCTTAATTTTCAGAAGGCAGCTTGGTGCTGAAAGACCCCCCAGGGATGGGTGCTGGGAGGGTGGAGGCCAGCTAGGAGTGATGGTCTGGGACCTGGTGGTCCATAGACAGACCTTGAGCTGAACACAGTTGGTGTTCACCTTCCCCAGCCTGCCATGCATGGTGGTGGCTGAGATGCTGGAAGAAACAGTAAGGGTTTGTTACTCGGGCCCCAGTCAGGGGAAGGATGCTTTCAGGGAGGAGCAGCTGGTAAAATACAATTACCCTAGAGCTGTTCAAGATATTTTTACGGTTGCAGAGCATGAATCTAGGTGAGTTGTTATTAGTTCTCTGGGATCTGAGGATTTGAGCCACGCTGCACCCAACACCAAGGCATTTTCCCTATCTATAATCATTCTGCAGAAACATTGGACTATGTATAATTTAAAGAGGAATGGATAGAAAGGTGATAGTGGCAACATAGGTAGGCCATATTTTGGGATGTTTTACAGAGTAAGGAAGGAGAGTTTGGGTATGGCATGAAAGTATAGTGGGACTGATGAGAAGTGACTTATAGACATTTGTCATCTGACTACGTATTTGAGGGAAGGGGCAAGTGTGGGGCAAGGCACCTGGTATGCAAGAAATGATAGCACTCCACATAAGAGAGGAAGGGCAGAGTCTTAGACTGGAGGGAAGAATGAGATCCGGCAAGGGATAAGGAAATTGGGAGTGTTCTTGTACCAGATGACTGTAATCTTTTAAGAGAAGGAACTGAGACACTGGCTGGAGGGGCCAAGGGGATGGGAGGGATTGAGAAACCAAGGAGAGAGAAGACCCAGGTCCACCTCTCCGGGGTTTCTAGGAAAGGGCCAACAGAATGTCACTGAAAGAATGTTTTGGCAGCCCTAGTGTCCTGTTGTGGTTGTTTGCTGGCATGCATTCATAGATTTGTACTGAGTTTCTGTGGTTCTGCAACTTCCTTGAGCAAAGTTCTCCGAACCTGGAGCAGAAGCTGAAGAGGAAGTGGTGGCAATGGGAGTGATCTCTAATTGAGGACTGGAATGCCAGAATTTCATGAGATACACAGAAATCAGGGGTGGAAGTGTGCATAAAGCCACCCATCATGGGTCCAGTCTGGATGAGCACTCAAGTGGGCCTAGGCATGTTCTGATGATGAAGATGGGAGGGTGAGGGCCTGAAAGATTGTGGTGTGGCTGAATGGCAGGTTCTCTGGGTGTGGGGCAGTGGGAGACGTGATTGATGAGGAGGCTTTGGTCAGAGAGAACACAAATGTGTGGGTGAGTGACAGCTATGACATGCTAAGCTCCGGGATGTGGTGTCCATGATGATATGCAGAGGGGGTGTTTGTATGGTGTTATGGTCTGTGTGGATTCCAGGAATGGCATTTAGCAATTAGGTTTGACTTAGGGGTGTGTGTGTGTGTGTGTGTGTGTGCGTGCACATGCACACATATACATGTGTGTGTGTTGTGTGTATCTACCTGTGCATGCATAATAATAGCCCTCATTTCTGAAAATAATTATTGAAATAACAGCTCTTTCCTGCACATAAACATACTCTGGAATTACCATCCCAATGCTCAGGCCAAGTATAGCTCTTTATTTCCTTGAGTGTATCTCTTATCTTGTATCTATTTTGTAAATTTCTCTAAAGGCAAGAACCATCTTTGTGTCCCTTCTGTCCCTATAGCAATTCACACAGTACTGTGTACATAATGTTTTCGGAATGAAGAAACCAGGGTTGTTTTTCTTCATGACACCTTGTCTTCCCAGAAAGAAAAGAGGATAGAAGAGGATAGCAGAGACCCTCAAGTAATACAGAGACTCCTGGGAAATGGGATTTCTTTCACATGTACTCAGGACCCAAGTACCATTTACATCCTTTAGTGATACGTGATACACACCTACCATTCAGTCTCCGTTATCTTCAGAATGGGGACACTCTTTTCTCCTGCCTTCAGAAATGTTCAAGTCTCCTCAAACCCAAGCTCTTTGTTTGATTTTCTTCTCTTTCTGACCTCATCCAACATCCCTCTTTTATTTTTTTATGTTTGTTTACTTATTTATTTATTCATTTATTTATCAGAGAGAGAGAGAGCACAAGCAGGGGAGTGGTAGGCAGAGGCAGAGGGAGAAGCAGGCTTCCCGCTGAGCAGGGAGCCCGATGCAGGACTCGATCCCAGAACTCTGGGATCCTGACCTGAGCCGAAGGCAGACACTTAACCTACTGAGCCACCCAGGCTTCTCCCTCTTTCATTTCAAATTCCTTGAACCTGCAGTTCTCATTTTTCCTTTGATGCTTTCCCCTCTCTATGAGATGGCCTTCCCTTCCTTCCCTTCTTTTCCAAATGGAGTTCTTCCTTCAGCTGGCATTCCACTAAGAAGCTCTCTATTAAGGACAGGGAAAGCTGATAAACCTCAGCTCCTCTAAGAATACCTACATTTTAGCAGGTGATTTAAAAAAAAATTAGAATACATTAAAGAATCAAAGGGATAAAATTACAAGGTAAATGACAGGTAGTGGTGGTCTTCCTTGGGACCACCTCAGATAATACTAAGTGTATGACTACCAACACTTACCCATTTACCTGACTCTGACTGGGCACCTAACTAATTCTATAATCTTGGAGAAGGTGTTGATTATATTTCTTCACCTACAGGTGGTTTTGGTAATACCTGCCTCTTGGGGTTGTTTGTAGGGAGATAAATTTTATCATGGATGGGAAAGTGCTTCCTAAACTGACCATTCTTCTGCCTTCTAATACTTAATTGGGAATTGTCCCCTAAGGTTCTCCTGGGAGAGGGGAGCCAGATGATAACTGGGAGCTTAATACCCGTGAAGCTGAACTACTACACAGTAATTATTCACTTGAAAGTTAGGAGCTTTGATGGGCAAACTCTAATGTCTTTCCTGGTCCCCAACCTATGATTTAAAAAATGTTCCTAATTGGAGATTGTTTTATTATGTTCCAGTTATCTTGACTTCTCTAAATGGACTCTAAACCCCTTGAGGGCAGGGGCCATGTCTTAAAGTCCTTATGTATCTTCTATAACATTTAACACAATGCTGGACACCTAAGAGATAGTCAAGAAATGGTTCATTGATATTCATTTCTCAAATTGATTGAAATCTGAGGCTGGCTGCTCTCACAGAGAAGGCAATTTGCCATACCATGTATTTCCCTCAACCCACATGCTTCTCCATGTTCCTGCCACTGCATAGAGGAAAAGGCAGGTGGTCAAAAATCTGAAGATAGGCTAGCTTCTTAACTAGGCAGATATTAACCTCTTTGAATCTCAGTTTGAAATCTCATCTGAGATATGGACATGATGATTTCCTTCCCTGCACCAGGGGTTAGGAAGACCAACTGCAATGCAACTTTCTGGAGTGATGTACTATTGTTAATACCTATCTCTCATTCTACCTCCTCGACAGGGTTGGAGCCTGAGGTGAGCAGCAAGAAACACACTTTCAAATTAATTTCATAATTTAAGATGTGGTTCACAGATGGTTGTTTTTAACAATGCAAGGCCTTCTTATAGCTTCTTACTAAAAAAATTATTCTTGCTAACCAAGATAGGCTTTTTAAAATTTTCTGCACACTCTCTCTATATGGAATCTCTGTTATTCCCCATCTCCCTTATAGCTCCGGTTCCTGGAGAGTCTCAGGGGGATCTTCCAGGGTCATGGGTAATTTCGGGCAGAAATTTGAAGCGAATAACTGTGATGCCCCACCTATGCGTATTTCTTTCTTGTTTTCAAGTCACTGTTATGCACATCACCTTGTGTAGTCCTTACAGCTCTGATATCAGCAGAGCAAGAGGTGTGATCTTCATCTCACAAACAGAATTGATAATTTTTTTGCAGTGCTCTGCTTTCATTTTTTATTTATTTTTTAAAAAGATTTATCTATTTATTTTAGAGAGAGACAGCAGGGAGAGGGGCAGAGGGAGAGGGAGAGAGTCTTAAGCAGACTCTGTGCTGAGCGCGGAGCCTGACGCAGGGCTCAATCTCAGAACCCTGAGATCATGACCTGAGCTGAAACCAAGAGTCAGAGGCTCAACCGACTGTACCACCCAGGTGCCCCCAGTGCTCTGCTTTTAGAAAGCCCATCTCCCATAGACCTCTTGGATTTATGTATCTCCAGATTTGCAGGCCAGTGATGTCATGGACAGCAGCATGGGCATCACCTGGGAGCTGGCTAGAAATGCAGGTTCTCAGGCCCACCCCAGCCATATCTACTGAGTCAGAATCTGCATTTTAACAAGACCCCCTAGGTAATGTATGCGTACATTGAAGTTTGCAAATACTGACCTGTACATTGAAATTTGAGAATACTGACCTCAAATAAAGGTATTAATGACTTAACATTACCCTTTGCAAGAAAGAAAAGCTCCAAAGTATCTATTTTTTAAAAGAACTCTTGAAAAGGAAACATTTATCCCCAAAGAATGAGTGATAGAATTCCAGACATTGCATCTCTAGAGAGCATTCCAGAGCCCTAACATAGAAATCCTATCTCTTTCACTTACACGAGAGGCCAGTCTTGTTTGCCAGTGTCATAGAATGAAGTTTCAGAGAGAAAAAAATGAAGAATGATACAAGAAAATAGGGCAACAATTTACAAACCTAAAATGGTAATTTATACATATTTTCTTTCATAAAATATGCAGTATAATAAAATTTTATCATACAGGTGATAGTTAATCAAACAACACTTAGAAAAATGTATCAACTTGCTAAAAACATTGAGTTCTTGTTTTCACCATAACCAATTTCAGAATCACCACAGACAATGTCACTCCCCTTCCCTACTAGTTTAATCATCTTCTATATACGAAGAGACTAAAATTTTTTCTATTTAGTCAAATTCGCAGGAAGTTTGTAAGTGGATTGTCTTTGCAATATTGTTCTTCATTTAACCCATTTAAAAAAATTTCCACACAGAGCGCATGAAGGTAAGTTTGTCAAATTGTTAACAACCTCAGACTTTAATTACATGTTGGCTCCATTTGGTAAGATTAGAAGCTTCATCAGAACTGAATTAGTAATCCTAGAATCATACACTGTAAGCCTATAAAGATGACCCAATATAAATTCTTTTATAAATGGGGAAACTGAGGCTCAGAGAAGGGGTGTTACTTGTTCAAGACCACTCTCATAGTTGGGATTATTAGAGGTTTCAACTGAAAAGGTTTTTAGTTGTAAGGAAGCCTGAACAAAACCACACATTTCCAATGTTCTTCTGGTTTTCATGTTCACCCACACGCTTAACACAGCCCATCTAGGAACCAAGATTTTGGATCAATCCTTTTCATGAGATACACCAACTCACCTTGTTAGCAATCTCCTGGATTTCTGGAGTGGCAGGTTTGGCTTCAGTTAAGCCTCCAGGTATCATTTTGGCTAATTGCTTCTTTGCTAGGCAGGACGCTGGAACTGAAGTGATCAAGGAAGCGTGGAGACTGGTTTTTAAAGAGGGTGTTGCTCAATAAGCTCCGCCTCCAGAAGGTTTTCTTTTTCACAAAGAGCAAAAAGGCACAGGGAAAATGAATATGTCTTGAAGCTTGCAAGCCATGCTGCTTCCTCAACAGAGTGTGCCAGTAGGAATTTGGGAGAATGAGTGCTGAGGATGAACAAATGGGTGTGCCCAGCGAGTCAACTACGTCATCACAGGGACTCAGACTTCCCTGCATTCTCTTGGACAATGAGTCCATCCTGGTGCATCTGAGGAATGAAATCTGGAGCCACGACCAGAGTTTCCCACTGTTTTAAACCTCTAATACTAAATTTTATATTTTAAAGGTATATTTATTAATAATGTCAAGGCTGATTGTTTAGAATTTACTTGACTTTATAAAGAAAGTAAAAGTGTCTGTCTGGAGAACCTTGGCTGGATATTTGTATTTTACTGTTTGTTTGTTTGTTTTTACATTTCTAGAACTGTAGAAAAACACAAAGAGTAAAACAACAAGCACCTATATTCCTATCACCCAGATTTAAAACTTTTAACATTTTATCTTACCTACTTTCCCTTTTTTCTTTCCTTTCCTTTCCTTTTCTTCTTTCTTTCTTTCTTTCTTTCTTTCTTTCTTTCTTTCTTTCTTTCTTTCTTTTTTTTTGGTAGTTGTTTTTAAGAAAATCAGTATTACCAGTCTCCCATTCCCACCCCGCGCCCCCCAACTTTGCCCTCCACAGAGGTAAACTACACTGTGAGTTTGATATCCTTCTAGCCCATTTTATACATTTACTTAGTGTGTTTTTAAAAATTTATTTAAGTTGTATGCTAAACATATACTCTATATATGCTTTTTTCCTGCTCAACATGTTTTTGAGTTGTTCCATGTTGACACACAGATAGATCAATCTAGTTTATTTCCTTTAACTGTTATTTGATGATAGATTGATCTATTATCTATCTATCTATCTATCTATCATCATCTATCTATCTATCATCTAATCTCTCTAACTACTATATGCTATTCCACATTTTACATACTTATTCCCCTACTGATGAAGACTTTGGTTGTTTCTCGTTTATTACCCTTATAAACAATATTGCATTTTTTTTCCCTTTTGTCCATGTGTGACAGCTTCTGGAGGGAAATTATCTAGAAGCAAAATTACTGCTTTATGTGAATATTTATCTGCATTATTTTATTCAATTGTTGGAATATATAACATGTACACATGATAAGAATATTCAAAAGGAACAAAAGAGTTTACAGTATAAGGAATTCTTCACCCACTCTATTCCTCAGCCACCCTTCTATTCTCTAAAGACTATTGTCACCAGCTTCTGTATCCTTCAGAGATATTCTTTACATGTACAGATATTAAATAATTAACTACACACATACATATACATATGTATATACTTTTCTTCTATAAATGGTACAAATGGTACCCTACTTATCCTTATTATATGCTTTGCTTTATCCCTAACAATATATTTTGGAGACTGTTCTATATTATTATATTACACATTAATACTTTCATATTATAATTAATTAATATGTAATATATAAATTATATATTAGACAGGAGCTTCATTCTTTATAAAGTTTGACAGGTGCTTGACAAATTTTTGGAGCTAGGTGGTTGTCTTACTGGATAAGCTAAGGGGTGCTATGCAGATGGATGCACATGGAATGCCCTGATCCATGTATTGAGAAAAATAGCAAAGGTGAATGACATGGTATTCAATCAAGAGGCCACAAGTCATCTTACGACTTAACTCTGGCCATAGATAGTCCTTGACATCTTCCTGTGACCTTTCTAAGTCAGGTCCTCTCATATCCAGGCCTTCAACCTTTTTTCAAGGGCACAGTCAGTTTCTGCCTCTCTGTTCACCAACTAGTTCAGGTGGTATTTACCTAATCTCCCCAGTGGTCAGGCGTGGGGTAAGCAGCATATCTTCTGTTCTCTTTCTAGAGTCTATGCCTGGTACTCTTGGGTATTCAAAACCTTTGAGAACCTGTTGGTTCTCAAAAATTTCTTTTAGAAGCAAAAACTGACCCAAAGCAAATATTGCTTTTGTCTTTGCATTTCTATTATACCATCCTAGCTCTTCTCAAGGTAGTATGGATGTCTCTGATAGGGAAGAGTCACATAGAAGGAAGTGCAGAAAAGAAAAGCACAAAAATTAATATCTCTGTTAATAAAAATTAAAGTGACAAAAAGAGACTAGAGGTTGCCGCTGGCTGGGAGTGGGAGAGAGGATCTACTGCAAACGGGCACAGGAAATGTTTTCAGGAGATGGAACTGAACTGTTCTATAGTGGTGTGATTGTGGTGGTGGATATCAATGGTACACAATTACCAAAATTCATCAGATTGTACACTTAACATGGGTGGACTTTATTGTATGTAAGTTATACCCCCTCAAAAAAAAAACTGAGGTAAAAAAGCACTACCTTTTAAACACCTTGCTGATGTGTCTCTTGGTCTTGCTTTTATACTGCTTCCTCTAATATTTTCTTAATTTGAATTTGAATTGATTCCATCTTAGTAAGTCAACAATAATTTAAACTTCTGTCTTGTTACTTCACTAAGAAGCACAAGAGCCTCTCCCACAGTAGTCAGATGTTAGCTACCATGAAATACAATTATTTTTCAAATATGGTCTAGGACAGAGCTTTTTTTGTATTACATAATTTATAATTTCTTTCTGGGAAGAAATTAGCTTTCTTGATAACATACTTAAGCAACTTTCTGATGAACTTTGATAGGATTAAGACTTGTTCGGCAAACCCAATTATTTTCTCATAAAATAACTAGTTACGTTTTATAAATGATACGAATAAGTTTCTCATACCTTTCAGAGGACTACAAAACTCAGGCTTCCCTTGTGATCATTAGGGATGGACAAGGGCCTTGTGGAAAACTGCAGAACCAGCCTTCGAGGAGGGGTTGGCCAACACTGCGATTGAGGAAAGTCATGTCAGTCTTGCCATTAAAATCAGGGTAGACCTGGAGGAGGGGCCGTGACAGTGGGAGGTGGGAGGAAGATCCGGGAGGAAGGTGAGGAAGTTTCAGTGGAGGGGAGGAGAGTTGGGGGCCAGCAGCCCCTGTCCAGTGGATTTTTTTATGTTGGAGATGCACATGGGCTGTTGAGGCAGTTGGTGGGTGGCTGCCTGTGACCATGCAGACCCCCAAAGAGTCCAGTGCCATCAACACTCATGTAACTAGAATCTCTGCTCTCGCTGCTCTACACCAACTTCATACGCAGGGCAAATGTCTTCTTTCTCAAACTCAATTTTTGTCAGTCTTTCCTGCACCCAAGTTAGTGCAGTGGTTTTCAAATTGCCCTCAAGGGACTCTAAAGGTTTCTCAGAGGTCCCCTCGGGCCTGGAGGCGAGGGTGAGAGGAAATGGGGGAAGGGGAAAGAACAGTTAGCTACCCATAAATGCTTTGCCTCCGCTTTTTGCTTCAACTAGAGTGGTGTGGCTAAGCACAGAGAAGAGGGAGTTCTCTGAAAGAATTCCTTTCAGAAGGAGTGCTCTATTCTTATGAAAGAATTTCCTTGTCCAGGCCTTCTGGGGAGAAAGCTGTGACTCTCTGATCTGGGTGTTGACTGGCATCTTGGCTTGAGAAAAGCAGTTTTTATTCTGCATTCAGAGAGAAGGGGAGACAGTTCAGCTAGCCAGGTGTCAAGAGAGCCAGCCTGTACTTTATGATGAAACCGCTTTCTGTGACTTTGAACTTCAAACTTGCAAAAAGTTGACCCAACTTACAAAATGCTTGGTAGGAGTGGATATTTTTTTTTTTTTTTTGAGAGGGAGCTCGTTGTCAGAGTTTCATGCCTGAACTGCTGTGTAGCAAAACAGAGTGGACAGAAGGGAATAAAAAGAGTGAGCCCTTAGGGCTCAGCCAAACTCCTGGGGCAGGCATAGAGTTTCCTCCTCTCCAAACTAGATCTCTTTGGCTGGGGAGTTCCCAGTTCCCATCTGGTTTGCATATATTTGGAGTTCCGTGTGGGATTCTTTCCCCCACCCACACTTTTTTTAAATTGAAGCACAATTTATATGTGGCAAGATGCACATGTTTTTAGTGCATAGCTCAATAATATGTGCTTAAATTTTCACAGTTGTTTACACCCATATAATGTTATAGAATATTTTCATCATCCCAGAAAGTTCCCTCATATCCCTTCCCAGTTACTACAGTCTGTTCAACCAGTCCTTTTCCAGTTTTTAAATTTCATATAAGTGGACTCATACTGTAGATTTTCTTTTTTAAAATTTAAATTCAATTTAGTTAACATATAATGTATTATTAGTTTCAGAGAGAATTTAGTGATTCATCAGTTACATATAACACCCAGTGCTCATTACATAACCTGCCCCCCTTAATGCCCATCACCCAATTATCCCTTCCCCCTACCCACCACCCCTCCAGCATCCCTCAGTTTGTTCTCTATAGTTGAGTCTCTTCTGGTTGCCTCCCTCTGTGTTTTTATCTTATTTTTCCTTCCTTTTCCCTATATTCATCTGTTTTGTTTCTTAAATTCCACATATGAGAGAAATCTCATACTATAGATATTCTTTTGTGTTTGACTTCTTTTTTTCAGCAAAATGATTTTGACATTCACCCATGTTGTTGCTTTTATCAAATGGTTTACTCCTTTATTTCTTTTTCTTTTTTTTTTTTGCATGTTTTTGTATCTCTTTCCATATATCCATATTTACATGTGATTTTTGCACTTTTATGAGGCTTATACTATAAATTAGTATTGAACATACTGATATATGATTTTTCTGGCCAGATATATAAACACAATATAAATGCAGTAAAAGTAATGCTCAGAGTGTTGATTTAAGGTGAAGAAAGGCCCAGGACCACAGAACCCAGAGGTTCACCGAATGTTTCTGACCACCTGCTACAGAGCCCTTGAGGAATCCCCAGGATGGAAGACACACAGACGTGCAAACAGAAAGCAGGGCCACAGAATGAAGTGTGTCATCTGGGAAATGTCTACAAGGAGAAGGGGTCCCTGAAGAACCCCCTACGGAAAGTAAACTGTCAGTGTTTTTTTTTATGATTTTTAAAATTTTTTTATTATGTTATGTTAATCACCATACATTACATCATTAGTTTTTGATGTAGTGTTCCATGATTCATTGTTTGTGTATAACACCCAGTGCTCCATGCAATACGTGCCCTCTTTAATACCCATCGCCAGGCTAACCCATCCCCCCCCCCTCCCCTCTAGAACCTCAGCTTGGTTTTCAGAGTCCATAGTCTCTCATGATTCATCTCCCCCTCCGGTTTTCCCCCCTTCATTCTTCCCCTCCTGCTATCTTCTTTTTTTTTTTTTTTAAACATATA